AAAAGGTCCCCCTACGCATAAGTATTTGCATAGGAAATTAGCGCGTAGCACATAAAAGACGCTCGAGGTGGTGGTGTGGGGGTCGTTCAAAAATCCATATCAAAAAATTTTATTAAGGTGCTTTTTGAGGCTTTGTAGATTTTTTTAAACCAATTTGTATAGAATTTAATCTCTGCTTATCCATAATGCCAGCCAACGTACTTGGACCCATGGCTGGCTAACGGCTAACAGAGTGCTCTAGGGACCTTGGCGAGAGAGGAGAAGCGAGAGAAGAATAGGCGCTTGGACCCATCGGCGCGATGGCATTCGACCCCGAATCGTAAGTCTCCTTCGCTGTGCTTCTTCAAAGACTTCCAGACAGAATCTCCACAACCTTTTGGTTCTGGTCGTTGGGCGTTTTTGCTTGTCGAGGTATCAGCTATGCTTTGATTGTCGCGATTTTGGCTGCTACGTGTTTCAAAAAGGGTTTTTACTTTGGCCAGCTGGAAACTTACACTCTCTGTCTTGCTTCCGTTTCCTACATTATGGCAGTCAAAAACAGCTTTTAAATGTCAAAATGCTGACACTACCGTGCTTTGCTACCTATCTAAAAATATCAAATACTTTTAAACTATCTCTATTCGGCCTTTGCGCCCAATCCGCTTGCCAACAAATCCCCTTCTCGCCACACAGCTTGCTGGCATATGCAAATATTGCCTTTTTTTGAGGTAGGCACATAATTACATGGGGGCTTTGGGCGGATCAGGTGGATTTGCATTTGGTCGGGGCGATAAAGTGGGTCCCGGAAATCCGCTGACGTCACGGGTAGTTGTTGACAGCTTCCGGGTCCACCATCTTTGGGAAGTCGTACAATGGTATGGAATTGGTTAACAATTGGTAGATATGGACGGGCTTAGGCTTCGGCTTCGGCTTAAGTCATGCTTAGGGTTCGGTTTAGGCTTAGCTTAAGCATAGGGTTGGGCTTAGGCTTTGCTTTGGCCTAAGCTTACGCAATGATATGCAATCCTCAACGCCAATTTTAATTAAATTCTGGCTTGTGAACGCGATTTAATCAAATTTAGCGAAATTAACTTATACTAAGGCGATGGAAATTCATTTTCTATGAAATACATAGCAATAAAAACTCTATATATCGATCAAAAAATAACAAGGAATTCAATAAAACAGAAACTTAAAACATTTGTTGCTTTTTCTAAGATGTATTGACAGTATCTATGCCAGAATTTGCTTCACGATAAGCAAATTTGATGCATTTCCTTTGCCGTGAGATTCCCACCGCGATGACCTGAAGGTTAGTGAGCACAAAGATGGGCATCACTTCCAAATATTGCCCATGGCCGACTATCCGAAATATCCTCAGGCGATTCCGGGTTGAATGGACCCTGCCAGCCATCCATCAGCAAGAACGGCAACCCAGGTCTTTGCATAGCCTGCGGGCACGCACGGCTAAATAGCGCTAATCTGACGAGGGCTTTTAAATGGACCGACAGTGCAGACAATGCAAAATAGCCGGGGGCAACTTTTGGGGAGGACTTGGAGGTCTGGCGTATAGTTTTGGGATTGGAAAGGGTCTTCCAGGGTAGAAAAACTATAAATAAATGGCATATTGGCCTTAAAGGGGCTCTTTCAGCAGCGCAGTTTTGTTCATAAATCGTGGAAAACGAAGCTGCTGAAAGCCCCCTTTGAAATTTCTTTTCTTTTCCTTTCCCCCAGAACGAAAAAATTCTGAGTTAATCCATAGCTTCCAAGCCTCCGAACTTTTCAAAGTTCAGGTTGCAAAGTTCTCTAAAATTTTGCTGACATTGTTTTTCACCAAAACCTGGTTGCGCTGTCCTGTAGCCTAGGGAAATACTTTGGCGCTGCTTGCCACACAAACAGCGAAAAGTTTTGTAGTCTACAATCTCCCAGCCAGTGCGGCTTACAAGGAGACAAGAAGGAAATCCACCACGTGCTCGCGGCGATTTGATGACTTTACAGGATGGGACTTACAGTATCCTTAAGTCGATGGATTGACCCGAGGTTTGTATCAGCCCGAAGACGATGGCTAACAAGGAAATGGTCTCAGCTGGGAATCGAATTCGGATTCGAAAATTTGCACACTTATAGGGCTCGACGAGACAAATCGATTGGTGTAACTTTCAGCTGCTGATACAATAACCACGCCGAGTTATAAGCATTTTAAGTTTTTGCATACATTTTGCATCTTTTCCGCCATAGCTTCATAGGCCTTCCCCGCCTCCCTCTCACCATCGTCTGGTGGCCTAGTGGTGTAACAGGCGGCCTCCTGGGAATCTAACGAGAGTTCGAACCCGCACACGATTTTTATTTTTTGCTGTTTCGTCCGAAGGTTCCTCTTTGCTTTCTGAGGACCTTGTATAACTTTTTACGCATTATTTTAACTCCTCTGGTGCGAAAGGGCCAAAAACATCAAACTTTTTGAAAAAATTTAGATTTTTTTACCCGAAAGGACTATGCCGGTCCCAAAATAACTTGAAAATTCAAAGCATATCAAAAAGCGTGGAGTAAACGTAATTTTGGTAAATGGTGTGTTATCCGAACAAAAACTTTCGTCCGCGAAAATTTTTTGGAAATGGTAGTCATAGGTCGGACAAGGGCTTGATGCCCAGCCAGAAAAATTTTTGCGGTGAAGTTCGATGTTGTCGGAGCATCAGAGGAGTTAAAATAATGCGTAAAAAGTTATACAAGGTCCTCAGAAAGCAAAGAGGAACCTTCGGACGAAAAAGCAAAAAATAAAAATCGTGAGCGGGTTCGAACCCTCGTTGGATTCCCAGGAGGCCGCCTGCTACACCACTAGGCCACCAGACGATGGTGGGAGGGAGGCGGGGAAGGCCTATGAAGCTATGGCGGAAAAAATGCAAAATGTATGCAAAAACTTAAAAAGCTTATAACTCGGCGTGGTTATTGTATCAGCAGCTGAAAGTTACACCAATCGATTTGTCTCGTCGAGCTCTATAAGGGTGCAAATTTTCAAATCCGAATTCGATTCCCAGCTGAGACCATTTCCTTGTTAGCCATCGTCTTCGGGCTGATACAAACCTCGGGTCAATCCATCGACTTAAGGATACTGTAAGTCCCATCCTGTAAAGTCATCAAATCGCCGCGAGCACGTGGTGGATTTGACGCGCCGGTACGATAGATCTGCGCGGCCATGTGATGCGGGATCTTTTTGTAATACTTTGTATAACGAAAGATTTAGGGGTGAGCAAGAAGTATTCCAAGAATTAAGATACTGTAGTGGAACTAAAAATTGGATTTTAGGAAATGAAAGATTTAGGGGTCGGAAATTTTTGGAAATTTGAAATTGGCGATTTGGTTAATTTGATAAATAGTATGTTATATATTGTAAGATGGCGGCTTTGTGGATGGCTAGTAATCAAAAATTTGAATTATGGCATTTAACTACCGTATACTAATAATTCATGTTTTGTGAAATGAAATAAAAAATATCGGGATAAATCACTTGAAAACGTTATATAATAATTTTCTGATAAACGCTGGTTTCGATATAATAACGTCGTTTTCTTACCAATTTTGAAAATTTTAGTTGGAGTCTTATCTGGAGCACTAAAAAATTAAAACTTTTCAGAAATCGCGAATTCCGTTGAGATATTTTTATCGGTTTCTAAATTTTATTTTGAGCACCTGCTCACTTGCCCCTCGATGCCAATTTGTAGATACGATCTTTTTGATGATGAGGAGGATGGTTATGGACATCCGTCCGTCTCTTCCTCCCCTCAAAAATTGTCTCCGCACCCAGGCGCTAATCCCCTGCCTTGCACCTGCACCACCAGGCGTGGAGCCCTGTCGGCGTTTCCTTTTTGGGCGTGCTCACGCACGGGACATCCGCCGAAAAATTTTGTAAAGGTTGGCAAAAAGAATTTGTGGATTTTTGGATCCGTACTAATCTACAAAATCGTTCCAAAATTGATAAAAAATTGGAAAGTAGGTCCTGAAGATTGCATTTTCCTTTCCGGCAAACGCTCAATCAAACCGGGGTTTTCTTTTTGGCTAAACATGAATCATATTTTTTTTCTGCTGCAAATTGTTCAAGCTTCAGAGTACTTAGTCGACACTACGTATAACCGCGTCGCCGCAGTAATGAAAATATTGTTATGGTTTACTTTACCTCCGCCCCCCCCCCCGAGCCGGAACGTTTGACTATAACTTTTTCATTTTACATTATTGTAGGCTCAAATTCAAACTCTTAGTTTGTGTTTTGACGCTCTATCGAATGGCTTCGAGAAAATCCCGACAAAATCAGCGAGAACACCGAAAATTTTGAGACCTTTTGACCGTGGGGTAGGGGGGGGTAAATTAAACTCGGCTTAAGTGAGGTTCACCACACCAGCCGACCCGCGACTAGCGCATCTCGGTTCCCTGCTGATCTAAAGGTGTGTAAAGTATACCAAAATACTCGCGAGGGCAAGACAAACATTTTGGTATACTGTACACGCCTGTAGTTGAACTGGGAGCCAAGATGCAAAAGCAGGGTGCCGGTTCGGGGGGGTAAGCTGCACTCTAACCTTAAACTCTTACCCAAATTATAAACACAGCTATTTTCCGCTCGGATTTTGACTTGCTGGTTTAAAAACCATCCAAGCATCAGCTTCAAAGCATGGTGCACTAATGAATTGAGCTTTTTTAATCTGATCCTCGTAAAACGACATAATTGCATTTGAAATTTCACTAAATATCAAAATTCAGATTTCATACCCTTATATTTTAAGCAAAACGGAAACCATCAAAACACTGATCACTCGTAATCAGTCATATTTTGGAGCTCCTCCTTGCCAGACCGAAACCGTGTTTACCTGCCCGTTGCCCACAGGAAATGCAGGATCGATCAGCCAAAATCAGAAGCACACGCCGCTTATCAACTCCCTCACACAGCAAGCAACAACCCTAATCCCCCCAATTTCTCTAAATTCCCTAATTCATTACCGTTTTTGAAGCCAATTTTTATATCTTAATAAACTTGAATGGAATTGTCACTAGGTAAGTAATTTTGGGAAAATTAGAAGCGCCTTTTCTATTTTTTTTCAGAGCTCGTATTCGGTCTCATGTTCATCGGGATCGCCGCCGTGCTTTTGGCCTCAATAAACTGGGCGATCGTCAAGGGGTTTCACCCGGAATTGGAAAGGCAACCATTATTAAAAAATAAGCATGCCGTTTTCGACATATTATGAATAAATCGTAAAAATCACTAGTCCCGCGCAGAAAACGTCGTAGATTTTAATCATTCAGCTCTTTAGATCCAGAAAAGCACGCGCCGGGTCCCAAATCTGGGGTTTGACGCAGGTTTTTGACAGCCTTTTCTGATTCAATTGGTGATTCACGAGCGGGCGTCGAACAGCAGCGGATTTTGACGTTCTAAAATCCATTTTTCATCTTTATTTGCGAGTTTGAAATGCTAAAATTGTCGTTTATTTGCTTGGTGTTTGCCCTTATAGGGCTGGTTGCTGGCCAATGAGGTATAAAACCCTATAAAAATCCCAGTATGGACTATTTTGATAGATTGCCAAAATTGCGGTGATGTTGTCGAGCTGTTGGGCGGGGCCGGTTCGATCTATTTTGCAGACAATCGAATCATGTAAGCCTGCTCTTTCTAAATCCTTTACAAAATCAATCAATAGCAACAATTTTGGCTGCGCTTCATGGATGTTAACCTGCACTAATGAAAATGCTTTTGCCACGATTTTGGTATATTCCCAGCTTTAAAAACTTGTAAAATATTTTTTAGATGAATGGGAAAATCCAAAGAAGGCTTCGAAAGCCAAATTCAATCTCTGTAGAGCTAAACTGCAACCAACATGGACAATGGAGCTATAAAAACCAAATTATCAAATCGATTGGTTGCTTTCAAGATTAAAAATAAATGTTTTATACCGTAATGAATTCAACACTTTATTTGCTTCACATTAATGTGCGGGCGCATCACTAGCGCGTGACCAATCACGCCTGAAAAACAGATAAAAAATTTTGTATTCTCGGAAATTTCGAGGCCAGTTTTAAAAGTTTTACAGATTTTGCACGAATAATTTGAAATTCGTATAATATTTGAAGATTTTTAGCTTAGGAAATGCAAATTAAGTAAAATATACGTTAAATATTACCCAAAAAAAACGAACCGTCTGGAATTTCGTCATGTTACATCCAATCGGTCCCAAGTTTGCGTGAATTGTTTCGGAAAGAGCAATTAAAGACGAGCATTTTGGTATATAAACGGCTATATCAACTTAAAAGGCCACGAACACGAACATACACGACTTGAAATATTGAACCTAAAGAGGCCCATACTAAAGGATCGCCCCACTCTCGCCGAATCCAAAAAAGTTGTTGTATACGAAAATGCTTGTCTTCAGGGGCTCTTGCAAGTCCATAGAAGAAACTTGCGCTCCCGGTTGAATCCGGCCTATTGCCACAAAAACATAATTTCTTTGTTAAAATGGACTTTTGCAAAAAAAACTCCCTGAAACCTTCGGAGTCAAACCAAGTATGGGAACCTCCGGTACACTTAAATGCTACTTTATTGAAATTTAAAAAAAGTCCGAATGTATGTTTTTTGCAGAAAAATTCGGGGTGAACCTATCTTTATGACGCGGACTGTATATAACTTTTCAAAGGGTGTTTTACATTTGAATTTCCAGTGCCGCTTTGAGGCCTGTAAGGAGTTTGGAAGGCTTCTCGACCTAGAAAATTTAATTTAATTCGTTTGAAATAGCTGGTACTCGCATGCAAATATTTTCAATTTTTTTTTCATTTTTTTAACGAAGCTTAAAGGGGCTAAGAACTGCCAAAAATTGAGCGACGGCCCGAAAATCGGAGCCCTGTACGTCGGAGGCCTCTGTACGCCCAGGAGCCCAGGAAGCTCGCAAATTTGAAATGGCCTGTTGTCACCTCGAAATCACGTTCTCGGCTGTTTCTGGGCCAAATTTAATGATTAAAACACCAAAACTATTTAAAATTGAGTGAGGATTTCAAAAACGAGCTCAGAATCCTTGAATTATAGTGTTTTCTCAAAGAAACCGGACAAAAAAAACTTCGCGCAAAAATCGAAAGAGTGGGTGCTCTCGTCCCGAAGCGCCCGCTGGCAATTTGCCAGAAATCAAAGAGCCCTCCCAAAAGGGCGTTGATTTGGAATTTCGGAGCCCCTTTAACTGAATGTCATGCGAAAGTAAAGTTGAGGGACACTTGCTGTAAATGGCCAATTCATCGTTCTTCCTAATCTTTGCACACCTGGGTGGCACTGGGTCAATCGGCCGTGGCTGCCGGCTAAGGAATTTGGCATTTCGGTTAGCGGGCGACTGGTGAAAATCCTTATTTAAAAAGCTGCTCGCCAGATTTGCGCCCCTATAAAAGTAGTTTGGTGGCCTGGTTCAAATCGCTCTCAAATCCGTAGCATGTCACTACCACCTATAGTGATCTTTTGCGCTATCCTCGCGGTAAGTTATTGCAAGCTTCATCAATTGTCGTTTTTTTGAGGAGAAAGCAGCTTACAAGCACCTTTTCAGCTCACTTCGGCGGTGTGTCCGGCGGTGGAACCAAATTCGAATGTTGTGTCCCTCGGACGTGCGTGATAATATTAGTTTCTAATCTTTATGTTACCATTCAGCGGCCATCGACGGGACGTGCTCTAACGGCTTGCTGTGTCTGAATGACCCGCGCTACGGAGATTACTGCTACCGGGCCCCGTCTGTTGGACGTAGGTTTAAAGGCATTTCTAGGGTTACAACCCTTCATACTTTTATACAGGCTTAAGTGCAGTTTACCCCCCCTCCGGCTCCCCGACACTTGCGCCGCCGACAATTGCGCCGCGACACAGGCGCTGTGACACATGCGCCGCGACACTTGCGCACGACATTTGCCCCGCGACACTTGCGCCCGACATTTGCGCCGCGGATCGTAAATTGATTTAAACTGTAGTGAATTTGGTATCTCGCGCGAATTTTGCAGGCAATTACTGTATTTTGCATTAAAACTTGACTGGAAGTGAGTAACGTCAATCCGGAGCGCTCCTAAAAGGCGTCAAGCAAGGTGGGCCGTCGCTTCGGATGGCACGAAGCCTTTTTCTAGTCGCAGAGTGGAAGAAGCAGCAATTAACTTCCCTCCAAATCGAGTAACTCCTAGCGCAAAACCATCTTTCTAACGTTTCTTTCACCAGAATCGGACTCCGCGAGAAAAATTGCATCTTCAAGAGCCGAAACTCAGTGTCGCGGCGCAAGTGTCACGGCGCAAATTTCAGGCACAAGTGTCGCGGCGCAAGTGTCGGGCGCAAGTGTCCGCAAGTGTCGCCGGCGCAAGTGTCGCGGCGCAAGTGTCGCCGGCGCAAGTGTCGCGGTACCACCCCCCCCCCCAAGCCAATCACCACCTGCCCTATCTCGGCTCCCTGTTCCTCTACAGGTGTGTAAAGTACACCAAAATGTTCGTCCTGGTCTGGCGAGTATTTTGGTATACTTTACACACCCGTAGATGAACAGGGAGGCGAGGTACAAAGGTTGGGTGCCGGCTGGGCGGGGGGGGGGCGGTAAACGGCACTCTAACCTTTATACAATCTTTCCCATTATCGGCTATACTTAACCCCGTGTCTTTGGTGACCTTAAAGCGCACGTTCAGGGAGGGGCCGTGTACTCGTCCCAACGTGTACACGATTCTATGGACGTAGGGACCGCACGCACTGCCTGCCCGTGCCGTGGGAGGCAATTTCCCTCCTTTGCGGCGTGGGACGCCCCTCACCCCCTCGTCAGGTTGTAGCTGTGACTGACTGATATGCGACCGCGCCTCCCGAGTGGGGGGGGGGCCCGCGTTCGACCCCCAGCCGCAGCAAAAATCTTTGCTTTTTTTTTAAAAAAAGCCCCTGAACGTGCCCTTTAAGCAGCTTAAACCGAGAAAACTGATCAAAAAATCGAGCGACAAATTCCTTCTTTTCCTGACCCACATTAGGGATTTGGGCAGTCAGGAAAATCTAAGCACTTTCGATTATAATCGTTCCTTTCGACTAATTTAACAATACCGTAAATTAATTAGAGGTAATACGACCATTCCACTTACACGTCAGAACCCAAGCTTTAGCGTGTGTCTCCGACCAATGCCCTGCCCCCTACACTTGCATCCTAGCTGTGAACGGATGCTATGATTTGGTATGAATACATCAGATAAATGTCTAAAATATAAATATATAATACATAAATGGCTTTACAACAAGTGTCTTTTAGTCGGGAGGTGACAGCTGCAAGGACAAGGATCCAAAGTTAGTCCCGCTATGATTTAATCCATGGTGGTTCTTTTCTAGCTGCGCATTGTACCTCAAGAATGGCTACTGCCGCTCAAAACTCTACACGCCCGCTGAGAAAAGGGATTCGTGCTGTAAGACCTGCGGATTTGACACGGCTTGCCAGGATGCTGATCCCAAGTTTGTTGTCAGAAATCTTATACCTAAGCGTTATTTACATATGCTAGATTCCATTTTTAGCTGCCCACTCTACGAGAATAACAGCAAATACTGCAACAGCAGCACCTCCAGCGAGGCCCAGAAAATCAGCACCTGCAGGAAAACTTGCGGAGTCTGCTATTAATAGGACCCCGAAAGCTCTGGAATAAATCTTTGCATCAATCTTGCCTTTATTTAAAGGGCAAATAAAAATATATTCATATAAAGGTCGTCAACTCCATATACTACTTTTCGCCCCCAATCGTTAGACGAGGGTTTTAGTGTCGAATTTTGAGTAAATTTCATTCTTAGAGATAATGATTACTTTGTCTTTGGAAGAATTGATTTTCTTTTCCCGGCTTCTATAGCTCCTTTTTCTATTTTACGATTCCACTAATCCATTAGGCACAAATGTGAATATTTCTCGGAGCCAGTTTGATCGATTTTGCAGATAATCGACGCATGTAAGCCTGCTCTTTCTAAATTCTTTACAAAATCAATGAATAGAAACAATTTTGGCTGCGCCTCATGGATGTTAACCTGCACTAATGAAAATGCTTTTGCCACGAATTTGGTATTTTACGCAATTTAAAGCAGCCTTAAAGTTGTAAAATATTTTTTAGATGAATGGGAAAATCCAAAGAAGGCTTCGAAAGCCAAATTCAATCTCTGTAGAGCTAAACTGCAACCAACATGGACAGTGGACCTCTAAAAACCAAATTATCAAATCAATTGGTTGCTTCAAAAATTGAAATAAATATTTTATACGACAAAGCGCTCAGCATTTTATTTGCTTCACATTAATGTGTAGACGCATCACCAGGGCGTAACCGATCACGCCTGAAAAACAGAAAAAAATTTCGTATTCGCGGAAATTTCGAGGCCAATTTCAAAAGTTTTAAAGATTTTGTACGAATAAGTTTAAATTAGTTTAATATTTCAAGATTTTTGGCTCAGAAGCTGCGAATTAAGTAAAATATACGTTCAATATTACCTAAAGCCAACGTCCCTGATAGCAATCCGGCCAATTGGTACACCGTAAAGATGCTGCTGACGTAGTAGAAAGTGGCACAAGCCGCCCCCTAAAGAATTTTTTACATAATTTAATGACATTACAAATAATTTTTATTATAATAAAATAATAAAACGTTTTAAAATACCTGATAAAATTTCGAGATGCTGAACGAAATTGCAGGGTTTTCTGGCAGCACTTTTGCACACGCTACCATCCGGACGTTATTTAGGCAACCATCAACAATTCCATTCAAAACGCCCATTAGGATCGGAATCCCGATACTGTAATTACGTTAATCATTTTTAGATTTTTTTGCTGATTTACCGGTTTAAATACATGGTACGAGTAATATAATTTTTTTTACATACCTTGTGCCCAGAATTGGGAGCCCGTCTGTGGGCCTAATCGACGCGAGTGGCGGGCTAAATAGCACCAAAACCACCATATTTATCCCAAAGCTGGCGACGGTCATCCAGAGAACCGGCCATTGACCGAAATTCGCAAATTTTCGATTTCCATAGCTGATGATGAGGCCCACTAAATTCATTGTTGTTTATACCTTCTAAAACCGCGAATTTTCAGCTCGCTATTAATGCATTGTCTTACGCGCTTTAGGCAAAAGACACGTGTGGAGGCTTTTAAAGGGGCTTCGAACTGCCAAATCAAAGCCCTTTTGGGAGGCCTCTTTGATTTCTGGCAAATTGCCAGCGGGCACTGCGGGACGAGAGACCTCACACTTTCGATTTTTGCGCGAAGTTGTTTTTGCCCGGTTTCTTTGTGAAAACACTATAATTCGCGCGTTCTGAGCCCATTTTTGAAATGCTCATTCAATTTTCAATAGATTTGGTGTTTTAATCATCAAATTTGGCCCAGAAACAGCCGAGAACGTGATGTCGAGGTGACAACAGGCAATTTCAAATTTTGCGAGCTTCCCGGCCCCTGGGCGTACAGAGGCCTCCGACGTAAAGGGCTCCGATTTTCGGGCCGTCACTCAATTTTTGCTTCGTAGCCCCTTTAAAGACGACAAGCGGTTAATACAGTTTTGTATAACTTACATAACACCTCCCCAAACGTCAACGATATGCAAATGTAGCCGATCAGATGTTTGTGCTCGGCAAATTCCGAAGTGAACGCCACGGTCGTTGGGTAGATCGTCAACCAAAACGCGATATACATCCCCCCAAAACAATGGAGTGGCACGAGGAGGAACATCTTGGACGTCATCATCGTGGAGAACATCAAGCCTGAAGGAAAAAATTATTAGAGAGACAAAATTAAATTGACATGAAGTTAAAAACCCACCTAATTGCTCCCGAAAGCTCTTTCGATTGGCCGGATTGAAGATGGAATTCGGAATATTACGCATTGGCAGAAAAGCAGCAATAACGAGGGCGATACAGGCCATCGCCATCGAGCCGTACGTCAGCAGGTCGATTTCGTTTTCGGAGTAGTGGCGGTATCCCTTTGCTGACTGAAGTCTTGTCTTTGTCTCTCTCTCTCTATCTATCTCTCTCTAGCTCTCTCTAGCTCTCTCTCTCTTTCCATCTTTCTCGCTTTCTATGTCACTTTTATGGACTTACAGTAACGTCAAGTTGCAACTCCCGATCACTACTAAATTCGCTGGAAGCAATCATTAGCAGACCGGTCAGAAGAAAACTAAAAATTGCGCTAAATTCAAGCCTAAGAATGCTACCAAATTTGGGCCACCGTCCAAAAGATTGCCTGATTCCTTGAAAAGGTAGCATCCGTGGAATGTTTGGCCGAATAGGTGCCGGCGCCAACGTAGTATACTAAAGTATTGCAGGTTCAAACGGGTTGAATTTAAGTCAGCACCATTATTTGAATCTATATGGATTTTTTTGGTAGCTGCAACTCACGTGGAAAAGCGAAGCCCGCCAATATCGCCGCCGGGAAATACACAAAATTGTGGATGTACAGAAAGCTGCTCGTGTACGCCAGAAAACATAGCGACGCCACGATAAGTGTTTTTCGAATGCCGATCGTATGCAAAATCGCGGGTGCCAAAAGATTGGATAGGGTGTAGACGATATATACGAGGCATTGTCTAAAGTGAAATTATTGTGTTTGAAGTAACGACAACTAGAGACAAGGAGAGAGAGAGAGAGAAAGAGAGAGAAAAAGAGAATCTAAGGAATCAGACGTACCCATAATATCCAGCAAAATCGATAATACAATCTGGACATCTTCCCTTAACGCTGTGCATCACCGACTCGACCGCGAATCCCATCACATTATAGCCAAAAAGAAGCACCATTTGCAGAATTCCAATTATTACAGAAGCCAATATTGTGAAGGTATCGTCTTTCATTTTCGATGTGGTATGTTTCAACCTCAGCGATTAGAACCCAAAGCGATCCTTGCCCGACCCAAATGTATCAATAACTTTCGGCGGGCGGTGCATCGGCTGGTCGGCCAAAGCAATAGCTGATTTGCATAATCCGTGTGCGCTCGGTTCTCAGCTTATTTTTGGGTTCATCGAGTTTTTTTTTGGTAGCAATCCTCGCAGGTCGCAGGCAGCGACTGCAGTTTTTATCGAGTTAGCGAAACTATGAGTTTATTCCGGTTAAGGAGGGCAAATTCGTCGGCATTTTGAACCACGGGATATAACCGAAATTTTATGCATTCTTTATTGGCGAACTCGTTCATCCGTAATTTCGGGGAGCCGAATTCTCTCACTCTTGTTCTCACTGATTCTCTCTCTCTCTCTCTCGCTCTCTCTTTCTCCCTCTCCGGATAATTTCGAGGAAGTGCAGATTTTAAGTAGGTTTATTAGGTACATAGAATCCATAAAAGCAAATTATAATTATTTTTTTTTGCATTTTTTGAGGTGTTTCTACAATCATTCCATATCTCCGGTCCACTCATCCGGGTTCAGCCCCACCACAATGTTCATGTGCTTGGGCGTGAAGTTGACGTTTAGGGTCGCTTTTCCGTCAGTGATCAGGGTCACCTAGAACATTGTTTAGTTTCGTCTAATTGATGACACAAGCAAGGGCTCCAAAACTCGCGCCACATATTTTCTTATCCATTCCCGTGGGGGGGGTTATCGTTAACTAGTTAGGGTAGCAGAGGATGCGGGAAGGTGACCTTCAAATAGGTAATCCCATTATCATCTGGCGTTCCGGTTGATTAGCGCGCGGTTTCAAGTGGTTTTTAGCTTCCGGTCAGTCTACTCTGCAGTATTTGTGGGACGGAAACGGGTTCGGGGTATGGGATTTGCTTTCAAAAATTGAACAATACTGATTTTCGGCTTAGAAAATTTTTTCCGTTAAGTTTCCGTATTTCTAGTTTTGTTCTGCATTTAGAAAATTAGCAGATCCCATAACAATAATTACCAAAAATTAGCAACACAATTTTTGCTGTAGAATTTTCTAATAAACTAGACTTTTCTAAAATTATTAGATTGGGTCCGAAAAAATTCTAATAAAGTTTTTTTTAACATTTTTTGATCAACTTTATTTGTATATTCTTAATATTCTTTGTTAAGAAACTCACGGGTCCCCAAGGCGTCGGGAAAGTTCCGGTAGAAGCCTCCGTCTCTCCAATCTTCACCGTAGCCCCCTTGCCATCAGAGGAGACGACTACCGGCTCGTTGGATCGGTTTTCGATCTAAAACTGGGATTTTTGGGTTCAGAAAAGCGGATTACGTGGATCGGGACACCGGCCTCTTCCACGTCGGTCGTCTGGTGGGCGCCGATTGGGGCGGCGGCGGCCACGGCGACGACTCCAAGCAGGCACAAAAGCATACCGTGCATTTTGGCTAAAGGGAGAGTTTGGGAGAGAAAGAGCGAAAGTGAGAGAGAGTGCGAGATATATCACCAAAAAAAAGCGAAAGTACGATGGAGCGAGAGACAAGGTAATGGAGCTAGAGAGGAGAGAAAGAGAACGAGAGAAAGAAAGAGAGACAGTGTAGGCTTTGCATATCAGAGACATAGTGATCGTTATAGAGAGATAACTGGAACTATAAAGCCTCAAAATTGAATTATTGTAGCCTCAAAATTCCAACTTTCAAACCTTGTCAACTTCACAATTTTCGATTTCATCTGGCCAGTTAAAATCAATCGCAACCCCAATACCGTAACCCAGCAAAACAGCCGTTCATCAAGAACCGAACACCGCGATGTCAAACAAGCCAATGCTAACCCCTTGTCAGCGCGCCGGGATTTATTGGGTGTGGTGCTCCTCGCCTTATCCAGTTCGGTCCCGCCCCAAGCCGTTCGTTCCTTTTCTCGTCTTTCCCTAAGACCATCTCCTGAAATTCCAGCCCAAAACCGCTGCTGGCGAACGGTCGAACCGGCACCCACGGGCACCGACCGGACGCCGTTCGCCCCCCCCGCTCTAATTCGTTGACCTTTTTTCGGCTGCTTCGGCCCATCCGGCTGTTTGGGGCATTCCGCTCGGGTTGATTTGATAGGCCCACATGAGAGGGCGGTGTAGTCAGTGGTTTGAAATTGCGAAAAAACTCGGTCAACCGATGGGAACATGGGTGAATGTTGCCCTGGCACCGGCGACGGTCAGACTCGCGCGACGGTTCCCGAGGAACGGCCCGCGAATTGGCGCCGACCCGGCGGGAATGTAGGGGCGTTTTGTCTGTGCATCGTGGTGTTTGCAGGGGCCCGTGCCAATTGAGGAAGTGAGGCAAGGAATTTCAGTCAGAATCCCGACAGTTTGAAATCCCGATAGGCGAAGATATCGACAGCCGAAATCAGCCATCATCGATAATCCCGACATCGACAATCCCGACAGCCGAAATCCCGCCAGCGAAAGCCCAAAAATCAAGATCCCGTTTTGTTCTGTCGGGATTTAGACGTTTTCCCTTGGGAAATGGTCTGATGTTTTCGCGAGGTATATCCGCCTTGGTGAAACTCCATTCCAGCCTCTCCAGGTATCACGACATCTATTAATGCATCAAGAAGGGGAGCAGACAGCGATGGATAGGCTCGTTATGGTGAATTGGTTTTTTAGAACATGTTTTTTTATATCTTTTAAACGTAACCAGGGTTGAAAAGCCGCTTCGCGCCTTTTCAACCCTGGCCCGGTCTGAGCCCATGATATCCTGCACATTGCATAATTCGCCCGAATTTCGATGAAAAATAATGAAAAATGCTCCCTCCCCGCCGTTATATAGGCTGCCGCCACTTCCGGGTTATGCTAATTTTATCCTAACAAAGAGGCTGCCCGATTTTTTAACAAAAAGTGTTTTTTAATGTCGAAAATAGCATAATTTGCAAAATCTGATATGCGTGCAGTCATCTCCAGACGATCACGCTCCTAATGACGTATCATATGTAGCCTAATACCCTTCCCCCCTTGAGATATCCTCCGGACACCCTGACGGAAGTTGCATGCAAATGCACACACACACACAAACACTATTTTTTTATATAAACGTAATACATACCTCCAAAGGTCCCTGAAATTAGAAAAATTGGAAGCCTAGGCTGTTATGAGTGCTTCTTTGTTCAGAACTGCAAAAGATAAACTTTAAAACCCAAAAATGTGCTCCGTCCTATCATTGTGTCACCACTTTCAATCTGACAACGTCTTTTGGCTCTGACGTTACTCTTCATTGCACCGGGCGGGGGTCGAACCCGGGTCAAGGGGGCGGGGCCGAGGCGCGCGCTAGCCACTAGGCCACAGGGGGTCAGTGGACAGGGGAGGGGGAAGAGGCGAAAGAGGTGTGGGAGCGCGGGCGGGCTGGGTTTTGGCAATTTTCTATGGTCTAAAATGTCAATAAAATTGTTTAGGAATATAAATACAGCATTAGAAATATTCTAGGATAATTCCAGGGCAAACGGCTTGAATTTCTCTAATTTTGAAACCACAAGGAGCGCCTTTTACAATATTTTAACTCCGAAAATTTGGCAAACAATTTTATTAAGCGGAGTGTAAGTATGGGTTATTAACATTTGAAGCCGTTTTAAAACTTTCTTGTATCATTCGTATTTTCCGTCGCCCTCAGCGTCCCCTTGCTCGTATTTCGCAACCCCGAGCTGGCCTCCTTCGACTTTGGCAAATATTTGACGGCTTTCAGCTGGCACCTAAAATTGAAAAGTTCATTGTACCTACTTTATTCTCGCTTAAGTGAATGCGACGTACCCAGCGATTCTTAGAAGCGCCATGCGATAGTCGCGGATGAAATAGATGACCGTGCACGGGTCGACGGCCGGGAAAATCGACACGACGACGATACCTAAAAAAGCAGAAATTGTCCGGAATTCTGGGAAAAATGTAAGTTAGTTCCCACATCAAATTAGGCTACGCGACGGTTCATTCCTAAATCAGACCACAAAGATTTCCTTGGGGTTTGATTTCTGGAAAATTGGTTCTCACGGTGAAATTTGGAAAATTTGGAAATTCGCAGCCTAGAATACGGTAAGCTATAGAAAACTAATGGCCAACGGGGTTCCGACGAGGTTATGTGGGGGTCGTGATCCCCATTTAACTAAATTAACGCTTTACAGCAACTTGAGGTACACTTACAGTACTCAAACATCACGCCAGGGGCTCCGATTCCAAGAAAAGCCACCAGATGAGTGTAGCCGCACGGGAAAAATTCGCACAGTATCGGCACCGAAGCCTAAACCAAAAATTTTCTTGCTAAATTTTGTAACAAAACCTGCACAAGAAGTGCTTTGAATAATTCACGTTGCATCCGCTGCGTCTTGGCACTGTATTTCATCAAATGCTGGTTTTTCAGGGCAAGCCAGATCCTGGAAAACCATGATTTTTATGGTCCTCAAGCCATTGTGACAGTTGATTGCTAGTTAGCTTACTGAATCGTGCAAAAAGCCATAATTCCCAGCATTCCATAGAGCAAAATCATGGAGAAGCCCGCGGATATGACTTCAGGGATGTAGAAGACTTCGACCCCGAGCGAGTTGTTACGCTGAAAATGTTACAAAATGGACCTTGATTTCTCGATTTAAAAAAACCTTCAGTTTCCCTGTTCAATACATATTCTAATTAGCAAAACAAGCAAGAACCATAGCTCACTCAAAAAGACTTACTACTAAAAGATGACCAAGCATCGGCAAGTTATCGACGGAAAGCTGTGACGTCTCCCAGACGATTTCGCGGAAGTACTCCCTAAAAAACGTCTAGTCTTATTTTTTTAGATGAAAAAGAATGATTTTTGAATTAAAATAATAAAAAGTATAATTTTACGTCTTGGAAGCCAAAAACTACACCTACTTGTTCGTCTCGATATTAAACGTCGAGACATACGGCAAAATTCCCCAACAAAACGCGTGGAATATGGCAAAACTGAAAAAGTTACCGGAAAACTATAGGCCACCTACATTACAGTAACCACCAAATATCGGGATTTTCGGAAGAAAATGAGCAAGTTTGGCCTAAAACTGTAGCTCCAGTTCATTACTTCAAATACCTTAACGCCGCAAAATAGCGATAAGCGAATTGGTACATCAGGACGACGAGGAGCATCTAAAATTACCAACATTGCTGGCTACGTAAATTAAGCTGTTTTACCCCATAATTAAAATGCCATCCGCAGTACGACAGTAGCCCCAGAATTTTGTTCTTGCTCAGTTTGCCCTCCGGGTAAAATAGATAGGAATTTTTGTAGATGATATAGTGCTAAAAGACTCTTTAACCGGTATATTTTTTAATTTTTACCGGCACCACCAGAATTTGCATAGCCGAGAAAATCGTATTACAAGTGGAGAACGAGATCATCAGATAGCGATAGGAGCCTGGAATTTGAAGAATCGTTGATTGCTATGAAAATTTAATATATCTTACCAATTTCGGGACGTGAATACTTTATAATTAAATATATAAGCAGTGGATTTGTGATGAAGGCGATCGCGCCCCAGATGTAAATCACGCACTCGCTGAAGAAGCTCATCTTGTTTCCGGCTTTGAAAACTATAATAAATTATCAATTTACGGTTTGAGTAGCAAGTGAAGTAGTAACGTATAACATGATAGCGAAAAAAATATTTCTGAGAAAGAACGAGGATTGATAAATTTAATTTTTCGGTATACAGATGGACGATTAGAAAAAATGGGGGGAGGATCATTACTTCTTAAGTCTTTACTCTAGAAATCATTACTTCTTAAATCATGCTGCTAAGAATCATCACTTCTAAAAATGTTACTTCGAAAATTGGTGCGACGGATTATTAGTTTTTTGGAACATTTGGCCGTATTTATGCCCAAATCGACGCTTAGAATTTTAGAAGTAATGACTTTTAGAAGGAATGATTTTGGAAGTAATATCGAAAGTACCTTTAGCAGTAATGATTCTAGAAGTAATGGTGGTTAACCCAAAGCAGGTAGACGTTAAGTGCTGGTTTCGTGCAGCTTTGTAGGGCATAGCGCCCGGAAACACCAAGAGATCCAGTGTACTAGCCCCAAATTATAGGCACCAAGCAAAATGCCACTAAAACACGCGGTCAGCCCGAGTGTCGGGCATTTTGGATAGGCATAAAATTAAAGCTATGCCTATTACAGGCTAGAACTTATTCTCCCAGTCTTAAACGTTTAAATTCACGTTGTATAACGCTCCTAAGATTCACAAATCAACAGCTCAAACGCAGACCTCAAGCAGAGTCGCAGCTCTTATATTCCAAATGAATCTGGGATAATTTTTGCAAAAATAACAACTACCCCCGGTGGCTCTCACCGTAATCAAGGGTGTTTATGGTAGTCTGGCTCAATGTAGTTTCGATGAAATCTCTCCTTAAGAAGATCGCGTGGCCTTTTGCCCAAAAACTACGCACCAAGGATTTTCAGGATAGAGAGAGCACTTTTGAGTCAGACAAAAATTTCTAAGAAAATAAGGCCGGTCTCAGGAAATTTGTGTGCACGACCTTTGCGCATGAACGGTCCGATTATTCAAGAGCAAACGAAGTGGGAGGCGTCTAGGATATTCGAAAATAGATGAGATTCCAGGAGGAGTTCTGAGCCACCATAATCAGGAGTCTGGAATCTCAGGAACAGTATTGGTTCTGGACCGTTAGCGGGCGCGAGCAATTTTAGCGGGGGGGGGGGGGGGGGGCACTTTCTGTTTTTCTACTTATGCATTCGTGTCGACGATCAAAAAGCATTTTCATACCGTTTTAGTAGTTTCCGATTGCGAGAAAGTTACAAAAAAAGGTTTTTGACCGTTCGGCCATCTTTCATACATTTTTGACAAACTATCAAAAATTATCGAAAATTTCTATAATTTTTTAATGATTTTTTCATACCAAAAACCCTGTAAAACACTATAATCTGTCCATG